ACTAACAGAGGCTTGTATTCATGAAACATTTGAAGTAGCGATCAGCGTACACATGAACCACTAGGCCACACCACCACTCCACGTGATCATATGAGATTATGATTCTGTCACTAACAGAGGCTTGTATTCATGAAACATTTGAAGTAGCGATCAGCGTACACATGAACCACTAGGCCACACCACCACTCCACGTGATCATATGAGATTATGATTCTGTCACTAACAGAGGCTTGTATTCATGAAACATTTGAAGTAGTGATCAGCGTACACATTCACCACTAGGCCACACCACCACTCCACGTGATCATATGAGATTATGATTCTGTCACTAACAGAGGCTTGTATTCATGAAACATTTGAAGTAGCGATCAGCGTACACATGAACCACTAGGCCACACCACCACTCCACGTGATCATATGAGATTATGATTCTGTCACTAACAGAGGCTTGTATTCATGAAACATTTGAAGTAGCGATCAGCGTACACATGAACCACTAGGCCACACCACCACTCCACGTGATCATATGAGATTATGATTCTGTCACTAACAGAGGCTTGTATTCATGAAACATTTGAAGTAGCGATCAGCGCATTACATGAACCACTAGGCTACAACACACCACCACTGATCATATGAGATTATGATTCTGTCACTAACAGAGGCTTGTATTATGCAGTGTCACTAACACATACATGAACCAGGACACACCACCACACCACTTGTATTCATGAAACATTTGAAGTAGCGATGGTACTAGCAGTGATTCTTAATAAACAAATCAAATCATTACTTTGCTAATGAATCTGGTCGGTGGCAGCCATATGCAGAGTTCAAAGTACTATCCACTTTTTTAATTAGCAAAATTTTAATGTCATAAATAAAATCAGAGAAGAATGTGCAACACTTTCCATTTTTGAAACGTGACAATGTTTTGTGAGAGAAAATGTGAAAGTTTTCTAGTGTTCATTATGTTGTCACAATTTTGAAAAGAAACATGGTGATCAGAGTGTGATAATAGCACCTTGTACATTGAAAACATCTCTGTAATCTCAAGACAAAGGTGCCAAGAAAGAATCATGATTATCTTAGAAGAGTCACCATTCTGTTCATGCATATCAAATATACTATTTGTGTGCGGAACCTCTATTGAAGATACCTGGTCTGTGTGCGAGTCCTGTTTTTTGTTGTACCCTCGAACCTGTGCGAGTCCTCATTTTGTTATACCCTCGAACCTGTGCGAGTCCTGTTTTTGTTGTACCCTCAACCTGTGCAAGCAAGTCCTAATTTTGTTATACCCTGTGCAAGTCTAATTTTGTTAACCCTCAAACCTGCGCAGTCCTAATTTTGTTATACCCTCGAACCTGTTGTACCCTCAAGTCCTAATTTTGTTATACCCTCGAACCTGTGCAAGTCCTAATTTTGTTATACCCTCAAACCTGTGCAAGTCCTAATTTTGTTATACCCTCGAACCTGTGCAAGTGCGAGTCCTAATTTTGTTATACCCTGAACCTGTGCAAGTCCTAATTTTGTTATACCCTCGAACCTGTGCAAGTCCTAATTTTGTTATACCCTCGAACCTGTGCAAGTCCTAATTTTGTTATACCCTCGAACCTGTGCAAGTCCTAATTTTGTTATACCCTCAAACCTGTGCAAGTCCTAATTTTGTTATACCCTCAAACCTGTGCAAGTCCTAATTTTGTTATACCCTCAAACCTGTGCGAGTCCTAATTTTGTTATACCCTCGAACCTGTGCAAGTCCTAATTTTGTTATACCCTCGAACCTGTGCAAGTCCTAATTTTGTTATACCCTCCTAATTTTGTTAACCTGTGCGAGTCCTAATTTTGTTATACCCTCGAACCTGTGCAAGTCCTAATTTTGTTATACCCTCGAACCTGTGCAAGTCCTAATTTTGTTGTACCCTCGAACCTGTGCAAGTCCTAATTTTGTTATACCCTCAAACCTGTGCAAGTCCTAATTTTTCTCTTCCACAAGGAGTTGTGAGAGTCCTATTTTTTTGTATACCCTTGGACTTGTGCCAATCCTAATTTTTGCTATACCCTATGACTTGTGTGAATATCCTAATGTTTGTGATACTCTTGGACCTTCATGTAACCCCTGAATTCACTGATGGCACCTATTGACATCTCCTTCCCAAGTTACAATGTTCGAAGCCCATTTCTGGTGTCCCCCGCCGTAATTTTGTCCCGCCGTGATGTTGCAGGAATATTGCTAAAAGCGGCGTAAAACCAAACTCAGTCAGTCAGTCCTTCACAAGTACATGCAATCATGCTAAATGTGAGCATATAGGGCCAACAAAATTGTCTCCTAGCATACAGTCTGAAATATACCTTCCTCCAACCCCTCAAGTTACTGATGTTATTATATCAACCACTTATTATGCTTTGAAGTGTAAACAAAATGGAATCCCGCAATGTTGAATTAGTTCAAATAGACCCCAATAATTCTTTTGTCACAAAGTATCAATGTGTTTATCTATCAACCATAAATATCATTGTAAGGACTGGGCCCTGCTTTGGAAAGTTGTAGTTTCTGTTTTGTTTTCCATTTTATTCACTACTCATGAAGATCCGGGTTAGAGTTGATCTTCAGCAACCCGTGCTTATTGTAAATGGCAACTAATGGGATCGGGTGGTCAGGCTCGCTGATTTAGTTGACACTTGTCATGGTATCCCAATTCTGTAGATTGATGCTCGTGCTGTTGATCACTGGATTGTCTGGTCCTGAATATTTACAGGCTGCCACCATATAGCTGGAATATTGCTGAGTGTGGCGTAAAACTAAACACCACCCAACCATCCAACAACTGTAGATTCTATGTCTGTGCAGATTTTCTGAAACAATTTTTCAAACATTCCAGAACATTTATGTGAGCAACAGTTTCATGCTGCTCGTCCTTACTTCCCCAAATTGCATCAATATACATCTGAATATTTTTCATAACAACCCACTGCAAAACCACTAAAATATTTCAATAATTATCCTGAAATAATCATCCTTTATTCTCAATCATTATGTCCAAGGCCTACAGAATGGAACCACACAAATGGTCTTCCTTGAAAAACAACACAAGACAATGTTCAGGTTTTTTTACATGTATATTCATTTCTTCTCGGCTCATTACATACTTACAAATGCATGTTACATGAATACATCATATAAATAATGCAGTAGTATAGAAAATACCACTGCTAGAGATATGTACACCAGGAAATTACAGACGTGGTGGATGCAGAACGGTATATCTGAAAGTACAACCAGTCTTGAATTGGTGCAGCCTAACTCGATTTTATACAACTGACCTTGACACAATGCAACCAGCCTCAATGTAGGGAAACCACCCAACACACCATGCAAACAGACATGACACAGGGCCACCAGCCTCAATATGGAGCAACCAACATACAGACTGTGCACCCAGCTTGACACAGAGCAACCAGCCCCAATCTGATGCAACCAACATACAGACTGTGCAACCAGCTTGACACGGAGCAACCAGACCCAACGTAGTGTAACCAACATTCAGACTGTACACCCAGCATGACACAGAGCTGTGGTGCAGCCAACATACAGACTGTGCTACCAGCTTGACACAGAGCAGCTAGTCACAATGTGGTGCAACTAACATACAGACTGTACAAATGGACTTTACACAGAACAACCAGCCTCAATGTAGTGCAACCAACATACAGACTGTGCTACCAGTGCCACTGATCTGCAACCACCCAAAACAGTGCAATCAGCCTGTATGAGTTACAACATTGGAAACAGCAAAACTGTCCTTGACATCATTCAACTCGCCGAGACAAGGTGCAGTCTCGGCAGTGCAACCATCCTTCAACGCTAAAGTTAGACAAGACACCAATCCAACCTGGTGTCGCTTGAGATGACACAAGACTTGACACGACACCACCCAACATGGTATGACATGATACCAGATGTGCATCAAGGACTTGGTGACTCCAGTGATGGTTGATGCTTCAGTAGGTCTCCCTGTAGCATGTCAACCATACATAACCATCCATGTTAATGGGCTATTGTTTCTTCAAAACCATAAAGTGCTGATGATTTGAAGTAATTGTCTGTGTTGAACAGCTGTTTGAGGGAGTTTTACTACCCATTAGTTCGTGGGACTAAAAGTCACTACAAGCAAATTAAGCTGAAATTACATAACATCGTTCTTAAGGATACTGTTATTGCTCCTTAGCTTGGCCGAGGATCAATGTTTAGGCAATATCAGGAGCACAACTAATCACTGACAGCTGTGTGACAGGAACAGAGTTATACACATGCAGACAGAAGGTATAACTAACAAAACACTTTCTATTAAGTACTAAAACTCTAATCAATTACCATTTTTCTCATCTGTAACCTTGGTTTTCGGGGGTCAGTCCTTGAATTATCCTATGAGACACTACACTGAAGTTGGTAATAAGAGATGGACGAGAAAGATACGACAGCACAGGAAACCCAACTGGAAGCTTTGGCCTGTCTGAATGCATGCTCCTGACAACCCTGACAACATGAGGCCAGTATGTCATGAACCTTGACAACATGAGGCCAGTATGTCATGAACCTTGACAACATGAGGCCAGTATGTCGTGAACCTTGACAACACGAGGTCAGTATGTCATGAACCCTGACAACACGAGGTCAGTATGTCATGAACCTTGACAACACGAGGCCAGTATGTCATGAACCTTGACAACATAAGGCCAGTATGTCATGAACCTTGACAACATGAGGCCAGTATGTCATGAACCTTGACAACATGAAGCCAGTATGTCATGAACCTTGACAACATGAAGCCAGAATGTCATGAACCTTGACAACATGAGGCAACTATGTCATGAACCTTGACAACATGAGGCCAGTATGTCATGAACCTTGACAACATGGGTCCAGTATGTCATGAACCTTGACAACATGAGGCCAGTATGTCATGAACCTTGACAACATGAGGCCACTATATCGTGAACCTTGACAACATGAAGCCAGTATGTCATGAACCTTGACAACATGGGGCCAGTATGTCATGAACCTTGACAACATGGGTCCAGTATGTCATGAACCTTGACAACATGAAGCCAGTATGTCATGAACCTTGACAACATGAAGCCAGTATGTCATGAACCTTGACAACATGGGGCCAGTATGTCATGAACCTTGACAACATGGGTCCAGTATGTCATGAACCTTGACAACATGAGGCCAGTATGTCATGAACCTTGACAACATGAAGCCAGTATGTCATGAACCTTGACAACATGAAGCCAGTATGTCATGAACCTTGACAACATGGGTCCAGTACGTCATGAACCTTGACAACATGGGTCCAGTATGTCATGAACCTTGACAACATGAGGTCAGTATGTCATGAACCTTGACAACATGAGGCCAGTATGTCATGAACCTTGACAACTATGTCATGAATGACAACATGAAACCAGTATGTCATGAACTTTGACAACATGAGGCCAGTATGTCATGAACCTTGACAACATGGGGCAACTATGTCATGAACCTTGACAACATGAGGCCAGTATGTCATGAACCTTGACAACATGAAGCCAGTATGTCATGAACCTTGACAACATGAGGCCAGTATGTCATGAACCTTGACAACATGAGGCCAGTATGTCATGAACCTTGACAACATGAAGCCAGTATGTCGTGAACCTTGACAACATGAGGCCAGTATGTCATGAACCTTGACAACATAAGGCCAGTATGTCATGAACCCTGACAACATAAGGCCAGTATGTCATGAACCCTGACAACATAAGGCCAGTATGTCATGAACCCTGACAACATAAGGCCAGTATGTCATGAACCCTGACAACACGAGGCCAGTACATCATGAACTATTAGTTCAATCCTGTTCCAGGACATGATGGTATACCTAGGTATTGCTGACAATGGCTGGATACAGTTGCTGTTAGTTCCTTTGTTCGTCCCCAACATATGTAATGAGGCATTAGGGATTACATTATGTTTAAAGATTGAACATGAGTGCGTATCAGAACACAAATGTTAAAGTGAGTATGGTTTTAACCCGCTTTTAGCAATATTGCAGTGATGTCACGGCAGGGGACACCAGCAATGGGCTTCACACATTGTACCCATGTGGGGAGCTCTAACCACCAGGCTACCCCACCGCCCCTAGATGTTAGATGTAAGACCAGATGACATAAGATCATACTGTGGGAAACATCAAATGTATCCCCATTAATAAAATATTTAATTCTGAAAACAAAAATGAGTAAATCTAAGTAGATATTGTACCAAACACAAACCTTTTACTGATTTAACATATTTATATGCATCAAATATTCTGATATTGTATTTTATGCTAAACGTGAGAAAAATTCTCCAAGGTTTCTGTTCAAATAAAAACGATATTCAGACTCTGACTTCTTTCTATACATACAGGTTCACATGACAAATCAATATAATTGGTATACAAAGAAATACTGCTGGTGAACAAAGATACCATCACTCCTTGCAAGGGGAAACACAATGTGAACATTTCATCATCTCAACAGATCTCGAGAATTAAATCTATTTAATGTAGTGAATCTTAAACTGAAGTAATTACTTGAACAAATGCTACCTTCAGTTGTCTGACATACCTTGTAACTTTAGGCAAACAAGTTGACACATGTAAAATACTAAAGTGTCCAGTGATCAACTAGTCAGATGGATACTAGGTGCTATATAAATGAAATATTATTGTTATTATCATATACCTGTAAAATTCTGGATGTTCATAATTTGTTCCTAGATCTGCTCTTGATGAAATGAAACAATCCATTTTTATCATTTAATACAAAAATTGCAGCACAGTTGTACACAACAAAATGTTAGTTTTCATTTCAAACCTATATAACCCCTTCTTGTTAGTTTACATAACTAAAAGCACCTGACCACCCCCACCCCCCTCTCAGGCAGAGATTTGTGTATTTATACTTGCAGTGTAAACAGAGAAAACCTAGATGTTCCACGTTGATGAAGATATACAAGGTGAAAGATGCACAGTGATGACTGTAGAGGATTATGACCACAGTTATGATACAGTTACGCATGGAGTACTTATAAAGTGTTTTCCAGTGGTTCACCGTTATGGTCAAAGAACCTGCAGTGCGGTGTGAGTGATGCTCAAATAATATACCACCTGTTACATCACAAACATAAACTGAACCCGTAAAAAACGAAATATATCAGTTCCCGTTTGCCTAGAAACAAATATTTCTGTTTATCTTAGTGTATCAGTTGTTGCTTAAAACACTGTGCAAGAAGTTTATACTAACTGAAGCTCTCATAAAATCAACAGTCATCCCTGACATGCTGAAGAATATTAGTGTCTAACACGTACATTTACCAGCTGATCTCATCACGTTGTAAATATAACCTGCTGTTACATCACAAAACTGTTGAGTCACGTAGACATAAACGGAGCCCGCAAACAAGGTATATCAGTTCTTGTTTGCCTAGAAACAAATATTTCTGTTTATCTTAGTGTATCATATGTTGCTTTAAACGCTTTGCTGGAAGTTCATATTTAATTGAAGCTCTCATAAAATCAACTGTGATTTACTGACGTGTTGAAGAATATTAGTGTCTAACCGTGTACATTTACCAACTGATCTCATCATGTAAAATACTCCTCATGAGGAACATTATATTTAAGAAACAAAGACCAAGCATAATTAATTAGAAAAGAAGCCCGAGTTTCATACACATAATGGGATGCTATGTTTTGCGTTTATGAGGACCACCACATTATCACATACCTAATAAATCTTATTTAACCTAACACACACAGTAAGATCTTAATCTGTAACAGCTGAAAGCAAAAACAACATAAATTTCTGTTTTTCCTTGTAAATAAAACTACACATTCTATGAACTTCTGACATTAATTTTGCTCCTTTAAATGGACAACAAATAATAAGGAACAAACTCCAAGCACTGGATGTCACCAAAGCACAGAAATCAAGCAGATTGTGAGACACACACAGTGGTAGGATATCACATGGCATTGGAGTGGCTAGAGGCATGAAGACAATGTCCCATGTGAGTAGGTGACTGTACAATTTATACAAAATGTTTAATATCATACACAGTCTGCATCAATACATCAGTGGCTGGGCAAGAAACGCTCAATAGTTCAGGGATGCATGTTGGCGTCCACCTGGTGTCCAGTAGACCCCATTAATCAAGCAATAAGTGTCTGATAATGATGACTCCAAGTTTGACAGGATATCTTCAGTCTGGTTATGTAGAATGGCAATGTCATTACGAAACTACAGGAGAATGTTCTGGAGAATGTTCTGTGTTCCTTCTGTTGTTCTGCAGGAACACATCCCAATGCTGACTGTCACAGTCACAACACCCATCTATGAACATCGGTGCTTTACGTTTCAACAATGTCTGACCAGGTCCACTTGGTAACATGATTATCAACACTGCTGGTCACAGTTTCAGGAAGGTTTGTGTCGTGATTCAGCCAAGATGAACACAGATATTACGACTACATTAAGTGGATGATGTCTATCAGCAGTAATGGAGATTGTTGTCGCATGAACTATTCCTAAGTCACACATGACTAACCGGGTGGTAATGGTGTTGTCTTGACTTGATATCTCTGTACAGGTAGCTGGACATAACTGTCCAGTTTCAGTAGGAAATCTGACAAAATACTTCTAACACATCACCCAAAGTTTCATGTTTCCATGTCACACACTGCATGCCACAGATCTGGCTAAACAAGAACTTCTTGATTCTCTATCATATCAACCAGTGTGTACACTTCTTGACAGGATTTCTTCTGTTTATTACAAATATTTAATTGTTCAGATGTTTCATCAGAACAGGGTTTCTATTCAGCTTCAGACTCCACAGATTTGTTTCCTCATCACTGCATCCCATCCTTCTTGAGTCAGGCCGGCTGTTGAATTTTTTACATTCTTTTGTTTTCAGAGCTTGTTCAGCAAGAGCATTAGAAATTAACACCAAACTAAACGGATTTTGGTTCCTGAGTGACAATTTTCCAACATATTGATCCTGGTATTTCTGATTCACATTCCACAGTATTTCCAACTGTACAGAACAAGTCACTTTATTATCTTGCAGTGGGACCTGGTGAAGAAAAGGACTAGTAAACCTTTCAGTGAAGCATTGTTAACTGACTGCCTCATTGCAAGTCTGCAGGAAACACTGAAGAAAGCCAGATGCCCACATAAGTTACGACTATGATTCAGAGCCTCTTGACCATGTTGCTGTTGCTGCTGCTGCTGCTGCAGTTCCGTTTGGTCATCAACACAAAAAACACACTTTTGGATCTCATATGGAACATAATAACCTTGCTGACAAATCTTATGTCAGTCTTCAGGAAAATATTCTTGATTCTCAGGCCACCATGACCAGAATGACAGCATTCTTATTTCTGCTTAACAGACAGAACAATTCTGACAACTCAGCAACGCTGTTTCCTACACTCGTGGAGTCTACAGCTCCTATCACCTTCCTGATGCCATTGTCTTAGAACCAATTTTCAGTTTGATATAAATGATCCATGAATATGTGCTTCTGCTTCTCACATGTATACTGGAGGCTACAAGGTCTGGTACATCTGCTAACTGCTGCCTGGTTCAAGTCCTCCAGTGTTGCAGCAGCACTACAGTCACGATCAACACACTGACCAGCCACTGACCAGAGACAACAGCTTGTCCTGGAGAACTTGACCCTGTCTCCTCTGTCTGAAGGTGACCAGAGTCTGAAAACAACATATTTTGTAAGTTCCAAGTCAAGGATTCTATATCAGTCATCATAAATGATTCATTGGTTTCTTATGAAAAATTGAAAGTTTTTAAGTACCTATTTTAGACTATATAAAACTAACTTTCAGACTAAAGTGTCTTACAATGTTCAATCAAGTGGTCAGTGAATAACCGCTGTTAGGTATATAGATTTTCAGTTTTTTCACAAAGGGACTTGAGACAAAAGGGAGGCCTCATCACACCATATCAACTTTGTTTCAACTGTGTCTACTGAAAACAATTCTAAAAATGCCATCGATAAAATTCTTGAGCAATGGTCAGGAAAAGAATTCAAACATGATGTCTTTGATTCCCAAATGAGTGAGTGGGTGAGTGAGTATGGTTTTACACCGCTTTTAGCAATATTCCAGCAATATCACGGTGGGGGACACCAGAAATGGGCTTCACACATTGTGCCCATGTGGGGATTCGAACCCGGGTCTTCGGTGTGACGAGCGAACGCTTTAACCACTAGACTACCCCACCGCCAGATTCCCAAATGAAGAACCTGGGAATATCAGCACTATACACAGGGATAAGTGATGAAGACATGTCAAATGACATCATAAGACATCGTAACTGCTCCTGAGCAATGATGTTAGATGGCTGGATCAGTGAAACTACAGCGTAAGTGTAAAACAGCTGCCATACCGTACTCACTGTAGTGAGGCTGTGTCTGAAGCTGTTCATGCTCTCTCTCAGGGCCGTGCTCTGCAAGTTGAAACAGTTCTTTGTAACAAGTTGCTCATCAGTGAGTTGAGTTTAACACTGCACTGAATAATTGTCCAGTTATATATGCATGTCAGCTTACTGTGGATTGAACCCATGAGGATCATGTCAGATCTGATCTTCAGTAACCCATCCTTGTCACAAGTGGCAACTTAATGAATTAGTCTGTCAGGTGGCTGACTTGGTTGATGTATGTCACTGTACATGTATTGCTTAGATTGATGCTCATAATGTCAATCACTAGATTGTCTTGTCCACGCTAAATTACATAAATTACATTACAACTCTGTCATACAGCTAAAACATTGCAATATTTAGCAATAGTGAATGAGTGAGTATGGTTTTACGTCGCTTTTAGCAATATTCCAGCAATATCACTGCAGGGGACTCCAAAAATGGTCTTCACACATTGTACCCACGTGGGGAATCGAACCCGGGTCTTCAGAGTGATGAGTGAACACTTTAACCACTAGGCTATCCCACCACACAATATTTAGCAATAAACAGATAAACCAAGAATGTGTGAGGAAATTCTGAAGTGATGTAGGTCTTAGACATTTATTATTTTGGTGAAACACATCAGAACTGGAATGGTGCCAACAGACATCAATACATAATCAGCGTGAACAAGGACTTAACCCACATTTATAGGTTTCTGACGAGCCCAAGAGATGCAATTGAGCAACCACCCTACACACGCCTCATTTTTTCTCAGACACCTTATGTTTCAATCCGTCTCAGTCTGCCTTTAAGTGATCTGTCAAATTGATGACTTTTTGTAAGTGGCCAAAATGCATCCTCTTTCCCAACTCCTTGACATTGACCTTTGTCCTTTCAAGTACCATAACAGGATGAGTTCCTGGATGTTTACAGTTGACAAGATAAGTAAGTACCCAGTTTTCCAGATCAGATTTTGATTTTCTGCAGCTAAAATGTTAATATTGGACATAAATGTCCTTAATTTTCACACTTTCCAACTTTTTACCCTCAAACACACATACATATATGTACATTACTGTCCAGTATGTCCACAGCAAACTTTCCCCTAATCAAGAACGTATCTCTACAAAGACAACTTTTTAAACATACTGTACTGTTTTTGACAATATTTAGAATGGATACAGACACATACTTCTGTTGGGATATTCTGATTATTCTATTCACAATGCCAGCTGAGTGAGGCAAAGTGGCTCATTAGCCTGAGGTTCTGTGCACAGTCTGCTAGTCTAGCCAAAATCTTGCAATCATTATATTAGTCTCAGTACTAGATTTGTCCTGACTGTGATGCTTGGTTTGTCAACACTAGACCCATGCTTCTGGGTTTTACTATAGTAGTAAATAGTGCTGGTATTGGCATACAACCTGCGATACGATACATCACGATGCTAAAATTTTAGTCACGACGATATATTGCCAAAGTATCCTGCACGGAAGCTGCGATACGATACGAATCCCGACAAAAGGGTGACGATACGATACGCATCACTATACTAAAATATTTAATTCTAACACCAACTCTGAAACACCTGAATATCAAAACAAAACTATTTTAAAGTATTTCGTCAAATTCCACCAGCGTTTTTCAATGTTCATTCAGAAATGAGATAACTAAGTTTATACATTGACTTTGTGAATGATAATAACATGTGAGCGCTGTCTGACACAGTTCTTGACGCAAGAATTTCCGAGAAAACATTTACTTATGAAGGGAAAATAAGTAAGCAAATATTTTAATCATCAAACAAACGTGAGTCTTTCTTCTTGACAGATATCGCGATTTGGCAATATTCGAAGTAAAACATTGATGTATCGTTGCCCATTTGAAGTATCGTATCGGAATATACGACAATGTATAACTTTGTATCGATTCACTGTATCGACGGCCCATGGATCGATGTATCAATGTGTATCGATGAATCGTCAGACCACTAGTAGTAAATGTCCATGACCTCGTGCTTTACTCAAACTGACATACCATGATATATCTGAAAGATTCCAATGTTTCCAAACAGGCACACGTTTGCCCTCTGAATGTACTGATGATGTTGTACAGGGGCAAGGTAATAACATCTTATTGCCGCCAGACTTGTTTTCGTAATAATAGTAACAATATAGTAATAATCTGTAAATAGTAACAATCAACTTGCATCTTTAACCTCATTTCAAAGTCTGTTGCAAGTCTGGTTTATAGAATAAGTGAGTGAGTAAGTTACTACACCCCTTTTAGCAATATCACAGTAGGCGATACCAGACTTTACATACTGTACCAATGTGGAGAACCGAACCGGGGCCTTAACAAACGCCTTACCCACTAGGCTACTGCCCTGAAGAATGAGTGTGTGTGCATGTATGTGTGTGTGCATGTGTTGTTTAATGACTAACTAAGAAATATTTCAGCTATATGATGTTGACATGTAAATAATCGTGTCTGGACCAGATTAGTCTGTCATACAGACCCTGAAGCAAATATATCCAAGAAAGCCTATGCAAGTCTAGAAAATGTGGCAAGTCTAGATTTCCACAGCTTCAGGAAATGAAGAAAGTCTCAGGGCTCCTTTTCATTATATTTTCTTTTTTTTCATTATGATTTTTTTATTTGTAAAATATGTTCATTTCAGAGACTTGTTGTTAGTCTAGGACCAGATAATCAAGTGATTGATAAGGAAAGCATTAACCCATGCCATCAGGTCATGACAACCAAGTCACCAAGTCTGATAATCCCATTTTCATATTCACCAAGTTGCCTCTTGCTACCAGCATAGCTTGTTGGTAGGTTTGTAGTTCAACGCTGCACTCAGCAATATTCCAGCTGTATGGTAGCAGTCTGTGAATAATCGAGTCTGGACCAGACAATCCAGTGATCAACAGCATGAGCATCGATCTGCGCAATTGGGAACCGATGACATGTGTCAACCAAGTCAGCGAGCCTGACCACCCGATCCCGTTAGTTGACTCTTACGACAAGCATAGTTGCCTTTTAGTGTGGACCAGACAATCCAGTGATCAATATCATGAGCACTTTTTCAGTCATGAATATCAGGGATACTCTTAACAATTGTTAAATCTACACAATGTCTGAATAAATATGCAAAGAATAAAACACAAATACCGCAACGGAAAACAAATGGTCTTAAGGTGGACTGTATCAACACATACACTGAAAGTGTGTGCTAGCTCCTAGCTGAAGAATTCCTGTAACTGATAAAGCAGAGACACCCCTCCTGGTATAATACTCAATACTTAAACGCTGATACTACAGTACTAACCTCGTTTGTTAACATTCGATGACCCACCTGGAACAAAAACAACAGGTGTCAAAAATAGTAAAGAACTGAAATAAATTTAATATCATTTATAATGGTTAGGTTAATGAAGCCTCATGACCCTTATCAAACATGGATATGTTCAAAGTTGGATGACATTTATATCCGTGATGTAATTTGCGACTTCCGTGTGGGATTGACCCCTCGGTCAGCCTGCTGACGATAGGGGCTAGAATTAGCTACATAAGTAGGAAAGTAAGCCTTAAGGGGCATGTTTTTCTGATGTGCCAACCAGTCCACACAGCTGCAGTCAGTTTACTTCTAATTCTTATAATCCACATCGAGCTAATATATTTTGTCCTCTGTGCCATGTACAGTTTTTAATCAGGAAATAAGTAACCACGATATTTGATGAGCACCAAACAAGGCAACTAAGTCATTGATATAGACCACCAATTTAAGAGTGTGGATAATTTTTTTAAATGTCATATAGCAAACTCATGAAATGATGGTATCATTAAAACAATGATAGTGAACAGCTGGCCATATACATCATGAAATTAATGGAGAGAAGTCTTTAAGCATAGGACTGTTAAATGGAGCTCCTAAAACTACATTAAGGAATTCTATGGAAGATTAGTTTCCATTCTTTTAATACCTGTGAATACAGGTAATGGTACAGAATGGATATACAGAATTTACACCGCTGCGAACAACATATTAGTTATGACTGTCAGCTTAATGTGGAAATTAATGAATATCTGCCTGTTTTCCTCTTTTTCACCCAATCAGTTGATTCACTATCATTTTATCCTTTTACAGAAATAACCCTACCCTCATTTGAACCTATGAAACCTCTTGCCTTCGAAATGCTAGAATGTTTTTTGAAAATAATCATATTTAAAAAACAAAAAGCTAAGATTCAGATGATACCTGAGGTACATACAAACTTTCATGAAGAAATATTGAACGAGTTTATATGGATGGACAGATACACTTCTGTAGCAACTGTGAAACTTTGGGCGATGGGAGAACTGAAGGTGAAACTTTAACTAAAACAGTTACAAATAAAACAAAATTTATATGTTTATATACATACACAATAACCTTTTCAAACCAGCAGATCATGCTACTGAATAAGGTTCTTTCTTCACATTCTTCAAACATAATGAGTGAGTTTAGTTTTATGCCACACTCAGCAATATTCCAGCTATATGGTTGCGGTCTGTAAATACTCGAGTCTGGACCACACAGTCCAGTGATCAACAGCATGAGCATCGATCTACACAATTGGGATACGATGACATGTGTCAACCAAGTCAGTGAGCCTGATCACACAATCCAGTTAGTTGCCTCTTACGACAAGCATGGGTTACTGAAGATCAATTTTAACCCAGATCTTCACAGGTATCTTCAACTACAGGTGAATAACGTGTTATTAGGACTGACTGCATATTGTTAACAGTACTTGTCCCCCATAAGAAGCCCTCAATGGATGAAAGCATGCATGAAGATTTTCTAATCTGGACAAAATCGAAACCATTTAGTCCCAACTCACCTACTCTGACCGTGACAGAATGACTGCTCATTTCGTTTTCAGATCCGCGACACATGAACATCCCTGAGTCATGTGGCTGACTGTTATCCACGATGAGCTCGCTGAAGAGAGAGTGGTCCTCCTCAGTCCAGAAGCGGGTGATGATGTAGTTCCTGTACCTCTCGCCTGTGATCTTGTCTCCATCTTTGAACCAGTCAATACTCTGGGCGTTCAGCCTACCTGAGATGTTGCACACCAACCGTATCTCGCCACCCACAGGTACGTACTTGGACCCTTGCAAGAAGATATCTGCAACATCACATGTTGGAATCTTCTACATTGTTTACGATGAACACATTTATACCGAGCTGATGGATATAACAAACTTTGGGTTTTTTTTTGTCCCGGATGCTTTCTGTATAATAAAGTCCAAATGTGTTATGAACTACAGCTAAAACAAACCAACATAAGTGGTCCAAATAAGTTCATGATGACAATAGCTCAATGTATTATGTATCTCCTGAGAACATAAAATATAATTATTTTAACGTTTCTGGTATAGTATACCTTAAATAACTATATTGACGTTTTCAGAAATGAGGAGAGTTGAATGTTTTCTCACTAAATATTACGGGCGATGAGGTAGACAAGTGGTTCAAGCATTCGCTTGTTACGCCGAAGACCTGGGTTTGATTCCCCACACAGGTACAAGTGAATCCCATTTCTGGTATCCCCCCACCGTGATATTGCTGAAATATTGCTAAAAGCGGCGTAAACCTAAACTCACTCACTCAATAAATATCAATTCAGAACAAAATGGGATGTTGAGTTTTTCTTATCATATCGATATGTTCTGATAATATGAACCGATTAAAAACTTACCAGGCTTTTGTGCAGGGGGATCTGAAACGTAAATGTAAAGTTGTCACAGATATATCATCCATAGTTATATTGTATAACACTTGATATGACTTTTGATCTGATTAGAGCTTAAATAGGGTTATCTCCCTTTCACCAATGGTGCTCAAGTCAAGTTTACAACCAAACTAGTAGAATAATCTTCTAACTTAAGAATCACTACAAAATTCTACAATTTATCATGGGAAATATGAATTTATGAATTCAATATAAAAAAGAAGAGAATTCCATGCTTACAACTCACATACCATGCGATGTTCTTACCTACAACAATGAGATACACTTCCCGTACATATTTTTTCGTGGCAGCTATCTGGCATTCATATATTCCTGTACGGTCTTTCTGTGCGTTCTTTATCAACAAATTCCAATCACTGACTTGGAAAGAAATTCTTCGATGCTCTGAAATAACATTTGGATCCTTCACCCATGTCAGTTTACCAATTGTCAAGAAGTGGTCTGCCCCTTGGTGACGCCATACAACCTGGAACAAAGGGGAGGACAATAAGGAGCTGGTCTAGAATAACAGGCTTGATACAAGTCAACAGCAGTAGGGTCTCTCCATTGTAAACTGGGTTATCGCCAATCAGTCTGGGGAGGGTGAAGGGTTTGTAAGTATTTGTACAAGGCATTGATTGTGAATTAGTGAGTTTTGAGCTATTTTCACCAATGCTATTCAATTTTGTAGAGGCATATCGTACAAAAATCGATGCTGGTGAATTTACAACCCATCACTCGAGTATTGACTCTACCATACATTTGGAAAGAGTAATTATTTTGTAATGTTATTCATAGCCACTCATACTGCACACACATATTGTTCAAAATTAGATTAGATATGCACAGACCACAAATGGACCCAAAAATGTGAAAATAAATATACTATAATAGGATGCTCTTGAAAAAATACATGCTGAAAATAGAATGACAAAATAAGAGACGGACTAATTTCATGGTTACATCCCCATTTTCAGACAAGGTGTACATAATGTAATCTGTGCCAGGTATGGACTGCAGTGGCGGATCCAGAAGGGGGGTTCAGGGGGTTCGACACCCCCCCTTTTTGAAAATGACGAAAGACCACATTGAAGTTAATGTTTTGAAATGGTGGAGCCAAGGTAGGGTTCAAACTCCCTGAACGGCCCTTGAAAATTTCTGGATCTGCCTATGTATTGAGACACAGTTTTATGAACAGCTTTTACCAAAATTGATTTGCACATCATAAAATATACAAACAGACAAAGTTTGCTTTTATGACTTGTATCAACCAGCCAGATTGTCACTTGACCTGGACCAAGTCCTCCGTTAAGAAATTTTTCCCAAAATGCATCACTCAGATAACATTCACGGACTCAACCATACTTCAGTTACAAGTCAACAATTACAAATACTGTCATTATAATCAATCAGTTCTGGACAAGACAGGATAATTATTTTCCAAAGAAACTCCCAAGACATAAACTTTTTAATGAGTCACACGTCCACTCCAAATATGGCCAACAGAGGATCTGATCTGTACTTCAAGCCATTCTGGCTGAAGAGGCTTCTGATTGAAATGTATCTTATACAAAACTCATTCTTGAAAGTGATCTTATGGAAACTTCTGAGATATTATTTCAAGGGAAATGAAACACTTAGCATCATAGTATTTTCATTTGTTAGTAATGACTCAACATTTTATTCATCTCTCCACCCTGCATGACAACATATTTGATTTGCTGTAGTGTGAATTAATGTCAATGGAACTGTCTTGGCCAACTGAGGTTGTAACCATGATCCAGCATAACATGTATCCACTGTACACTGTATGTGATAGACTGTCATATCCTCATAATTCTGAGGGTGGTGAGGTAGCCTAGTGGTTAAAGCGTTGGCTCGTCACTCCGAAGATCCGGGTTCGAATCCCCACATGGGTACAATGTGTGAAGCCCATTTCTGGTGTCCCCCGCCGTGATGTTGCTGGAATATTGCTAAAAGCGGCGTAAAACCAAACTCAGTCAGTCAGTCAGTTCTCATAATTCTGAGTGTCAAGCAGCATAACAACATGTAAAATCTGTAAACGTCTTTTGTGTGATGTGGCCAGGGATTAAACTACCACCCTTCCCCACTGGATCCAGGGTGATGGGGTAGCCCAGTGGTTAAAGCAATAGCTCATCATGGCGAAGGCAGCATAAAACCCAACTCACTAACTCACCCACTCTATCAGAGTGAGTGAGCGAATTTAATTTTACACCGCTTTTAGCAATATTCCAGCAATATCACACCGAGGACACCAGAAATGGGCTTCACATATTGTACCCACGTGGGGAATCGAACCCGGATCTTCGGTGTGACGAGCAAATGCTTTAACCACTAGGCTGACCCACCGCCCCCACTATCAGATGCTCTATCCACTAGTCCACAGAGGATGATACATAACACACAAAACAAGATTTGTTCTGATGTAAGACTGTGCACCTCCACACAAACAACATCTGCTCCCTTGCTGTGTCGTAACCACAACAACCAAAACAAATCCAATCTGGTAGAGTTGTTGACGGAGATATGAATACTACACATATCAAGGTACCCTCTGTTATTTACAGCACATAAAAAATATACACCTGAATCATGTCATAATAGAATGACTTGGGAGGACAACAAATAAACAGAAATATCAATACATGGCAGACGTGCAAATGCTTGGCAGGCCCTGGGATGAAGTGCTGTTTGTTTACGCTTTAATCAAGATGGATCCTGCAGGCAAGGGTTTGTTGTATGAACAAACAGCCACGTTTGGGAACACCATATTGAATGAAGCATTTACATACTCCATTTGTATTTCCCATCAGCCTTGCTTGTATAGCAACATGTGAGATGTCTTTGGGATAGTAGTATATTGTAACACTGGGCCGGTGGGCACCAGGAACAAGGCAACACTGTGGCTAAAGTTCATGAGTGAGTGAGTGAGTGAGTATGGTTTTGCACGGCTTTTAGCAATATTCCAGCAATATCATGGTGGGGAACACCAGAAATGGGCTTCACACATTGTACCCATGTGGGGAATCAAACCCAGGTCTTCAGATGACGAACAGATGCTTTAACCATAAGGCTAACCCACCACCCCTTAAGTTCATGAGAATTTCGTTTTATGCTGTTTTTACCAATATTGCAGCAGTGTCATAACAGCTGACACCAGAAATGGGCTTCATTTCATATATTATGTATCCATGTGGGGAATTGAACCCTGGTCTTTAACATGATGAGCGAATGCTTTAACCATTTATTAGGCTACTTCATCGAACCATTGTTGTTCAAGGGGGTGACTAAAAACTGTGACATGATATATTGTATGTCATCATACACCAATGTAGATTGTGCACAATACATGAGATGTAGGCAGTACTGTAACAGCTTGTACATACAGTCAGGCCTCTTCAATTATTATTTGGTTTACACAAATTCTCTATAACCAAAGGGTCATTGAAAAAACTTGTCTGAATTTTCTAAGTAGTAAGATGGATATTTTGCTTCCGAAGAAATAGTGTTAACTTCTGACATAAATTCTGTGTAACATTTTGAAAATCAGAAAACAAAGCTGTCAAAACAATCCCAAATCGTTGACGGACATTACCATGTCCATTCACAGAAGCATTCACGACTGTGTAGTAAAACTTAGTTAGTATACTGAACCAAAAAAGTTAGGGAACATGAATATTTTATTGATATTTTTTTTGTAGTCAACACTGATCACACAATTTCACAAAATATCACCCCAAATTTTCATTATCCAAAACAAATTTTGTTTAGCATATTACCACACTGATACATTTTAATTTTAATTAATTTAACAGCGTACACACAATCATAGTTTAACCCAATGATTTTTCCTTCTCCATGGCCTTCTTCAAAAGGTGTTTCCATAAATTCAAAACCATTTCCATCATAGCTGAAAGATCTTTGAGACCTGTTGGTAGAACTTCTAAATAGTCCGCCAAATCACTGCTAAAATATATTTGTCCCCCAGGTTAAAAATTATAGATGGGTTACCAGCCTTTTTAACTCACACAATGTACTTTATTTTCATTCATTAAAAACACTCCTATTTTTATATTTATTCAAGTTGATAAACAAAAATAGAGAGGAAAAATAACCTCTATGGAACTTTTTCCAGTACACAACACAGCAACTATTCCTGGTGAGATAGAAGACACAGTCTTTGAAGATGATCCTACTTTTCTTATTAAGGTACAAAACCTTCCCTGTGAATTTCCTTTCCTCCCTCTATCATCTTAAGTGATAAAAATTAATCCAATTTTGACACAAAACATGCCTCTAATCACATAAATCACAATGTAAGTGACAAATCAGTCGGTGCTTGCCAGGCAATGCCGAAATCCAGGGCCTCTCTAATCCAACTAGCTCCACAAAACCTCACTTAACTGAATTATTCCACAGCCTCGATACCACTGAGGGGTCACTCATGAGTCAATTTGGAACGAGCTACTTCAATAAAAGCAAATTCACTCCATCACTAAACCTCCAGAGGCAACGAAAACAATCAAATCCAACAATTGGTACAAAAACTTATTATTGGCATCCATGGCGCCAATCACCAAATGGCAGCAATTAGCCCCTTATTGATTAAGGAATTGAGTGCTAATTTTAGAGCATTAAAAACGTCATCTTCAAGCTAATAAATATCCATAAAGCCCTTCCAATAACGACCCTTATCTTGGACTTTTGAAGGGTCTTCAGAAAATACCAGAGAACTTCATGGTAATAATGGGATTCAGATCTGAGATAGAAAAAGCTACTTCTTGATTGAAACAAAACTTGCAATTGTTGCTAATCCTGTTGGTAGACTGTGTGGAAAAATGTCACTTCAAAGCACTGTTACAGCCTATAAGAGGTTCCAAATTCTATGTTAAACCTATCTTGCATGACTTCCTACTTACAATTACCCAAATAATGTTACAGGAAATTATGAACAATTAAAATCTATATTACTATCAGTTTAAGATATGATTTACCATGTCAAACATCACATAGTCATGGGAATGGGTGGAAAAAAAACAGCATTCATTGATTTTTCACTATTCCACAGTCACAAATAACAAAATCATGTGCCCCTGTGCAGATCCAGGTTAGAATTCCTTTCTTCAGCAACCCATGCTTGATGTAAGAGGTGACTAAAGAGACTGGGTGCTCAGGCTCGCTGACTTGGCTCATGAATGTTGTCGAATTCCAATTCTATTGACTAATGCTCATGACATCTATCACTGGATTGTTGCGTCGGGATGTGAATATTTACAGACTTCAAATTTACAGTTGTAATATTGCCAACTGCCTGATTAAACAACAGACTCACAAACAAAAAATAATGTGATATCATAAAAAGAAACACTTGGCTTCTTACCTCAAGGACAAGCCACAAATCATTCCAAACTAAAGAACATGTATATATATATTTCAAGGTCTTATTAACCCAATTCCAAAATTACA